AAGGAGCTGGTCTGTCTACAGTATCTAGATGTAGAACCAAGGAGCTGGTCTGTCTAAGTATCTAGATGTAGAACCAAGGAGCTGGTCTGTCTACAGAACCTAGATGTAGAACAAGGAGAGGGGGTCTGTCTACAGTACCTAGACTGAAACCGAGGATCTGGTCTGTCTACAGTACCTAGCGGAGAACCAGGACTGGTCTGTCTACAGTTATCTAGTTTAGAAACCAAGGAGGCTGGTCTGTCTACAGTATCTAGACGTGACCCAAGGGCTGGTCTGTCTTCGAACGTATCTAGATGTAGAACCAAGGGAGCTGGTCTTCTATAGACAGAACTAGAAGTAGACCAAGCTGGTCGTCTACAGTATTAGATGTAGAACCAAGGAGCTGGTCTGTCTACAGTACCTAGACGTAGAACCAAGGAGCTGGTCTGTCTACAGTACTAAGCGTGAACAAGGGAGGAGCGGTCTTTCTACAGTACCTAGACGCGAACCAAGGAGCTGGTCCGTCTCCAGTACCTAGACTAGAACCAAGAGCGGTCGTTCCCCCCCCCCACCCCCCCCCCCCCCCTTTACAGAACCTAGAACGTAGAACCAGGGAGCTTGTCTGTCGGGACTTAGTAACCAAGGAGCTGGTCTGTCTACTTACCTAGACGTAGAACAGGAGCTGGTCTGTCGACAGTCCCTATACTTAGACCAAGGAGCTGGTCTGTCACATACCTAGAATAGAACCAAGGAGCTGGTCTTCCGACAGTAACCTAACGTAGAACCAAGGAGCTGGTTCTGTCCCTACCAGTACCTAGAACGTAGAACCAAGGCGCTGTCTGTCCTACAGTACCTAGACGGAAACCAAGGAGCTGTTCGTACTACGTACCAGACGTAGAACCAGGAGCTGGTCCTTTCTACAGTATATAGACTTAGAACAGGGAGCTGGTCTGTCACAGTACCTAGACTATAACAAGAGCTGTCTTTCTACAGTGCTAACGTAGAACCAAGGATCTGGTCTGTCTACAGTTACCTAAGACGTGAACCAAGGGAGCTGGTCTGTCTACAGTACCGACTCGAACCAATGAGCTGGTCTGTTACATACCTATACTAGAACCAGGAGCTGGGCTTCTACAGTATCTAGACTAGACCAAGGAGCGGTTCCTGTCTACAGTACCTAGACGTAGAACCAAGGAGCTGGTCTGTCTACAGTACCTAGACGTTCTCTATTAAAACCCCTCAGTTATGGAACAGCTTGCCCTGTCAGGTAAGAGAGGCAGACTCCATTGAGGTTTTTTAGCCAGGCCTTTATTAAGTGAGTGTCTTATGTTATTTTATTTACCCTTGGGTGTTCCACGTTGGATCAGCCTTATTACGGACCATCAAACTAGGTCGTGCAGACTAGGTTAGTGCTGTGTGTCCTACTGACCATGCCACACTTGTAGTGCAGACTAGTAGTGCTGTGTTTAACTGACCAGCCACACATGTAGTGCAGATAGGTATTGCCTGTGTCCTACTGACCATCCACACTAGGTAGTGCAGACTAGGTAGTGCAGACTAGGTAGTGCTCTGTGTCCTACTGACCATCCACACTAGGTAGTGCAGACTAGGTAGTGCTGTGTCTTACTGACCATCCACACTAGGTAGTGCAGACTAGGTAGTGCAGACTAGGTAGTGCTCTGTGTCTTACTGACCATCCACACTAGGAGGGCGACTAGGTAAGGCTCTGTGTCCTCTACTACTGACGCTCCACACTAGTAGTGCAGACTAGGTAGTGCTCTGTGTCTTACTGACCATCCACACTAGGTAGTGCAGACTAGGTAGTGCTCTGTGTCTTAACTGACCATCCACACTAGGTAGTGCAGACTAGGTAGTGCTGTGTGTCCTACTGACCATCCACACTAGGTAGTGCAGACTAGGTAGTGCTCTGTGTCTTACTGACCATCCACACTAGGTAGTGCAGACTAGGTAGTGCAGACTAGGTAGTGCTCTGTCTTACTGACCATCCACACTAGGTAGTGCAGACTAGGTAGTGCTGTTGTGTCCTACTATACCATCCACACTAGGTAGTGCAGACTAGGTAGTGCTCTGTGTCTTACTGACCATCCACACTAGGTAGTGCAGACTAGGTAGTGCTCTTTGGTCCCTACTGACCATCCCCACTAGGTATGTCATACTAGGTTAGTGCAGACTAGGTAAGTGCAGACTATGTAGTGCAGACTATGTATTGCTCTGTGTCTTACTGACCATCCACATAGTAGTGCAGACTTAGGTAGTGCTCTTTTCCTACTGACCATAACCCCTAGGTAGTGTCAGACTAGGTAGTGCAACTAGGTAGTGCTCTTTGTCCGACTGACCATCCACAGCTAGGTAAGTGCAGACTAGGTATGCATAGAGGTATGCGCTGTGTCCTACTGACCTCCCACTAGTTAGTGCATACTAGGTAGTGCAACTAGTAGTTGCTCTGTTTCCTCCTACCTCCACCACTAGTAGTGCAGACTCGGTGTGCTCTTGTCCCTACTGACCATCCACACTAGGTAGTGGCATACTAGTAGTGCTGTGTGGTCCTACTGACCATCCACACTATGTCTGCAGACTATGTCGTGCTCTGTTCCTACTGACCATCCACACTAGGTAAGTGCAGACTAGGTAAGCGCTGTGTCCTACTGACCTCACACTAGTGTGCAGACTAGTTAGTGCTGTGTTGTCCGACTGACCATCCACACTAGGTAGTGCGACAGGTAGTGCTGTGTCTTACTGACCATCCACACTAGGTAGTGCAGACTAGGTAGTGCTCTGTGTCCTACTGACCATCCACACTAGGTAGTGCAGACTAGGTAGTGCAGACTAGGTAGTGCTCTGTGTCCTACTGACCATCCACACTAGGTAGTGCAGACTAGGTAGTGCTCTGTGTCCTACTGACCATCCACACTAGGTAGTGCAGACTAGGTAGTGCAGACTAGGTAGTGCAGACTAGGTAGTGCTGACCATCCACACTAGGTAGTGCAGACTAGGTAGTGCTTGTCTTACTGACCATCCACACTAGGTAGTGCAACTAGGGGTAGGCAGACTAGGTGTGCTCTGTTCTTACTGACCATCCACACTAAGGTCGTGCAGACTAGTAAGTGCCTCTTGTCCTACTGATCATCCCACACTAGGTAGTGCAGACTAGGTAGTGCTCTGTGTCTTACTGACCATCCACACTAGGTAGTGCAGACTAGGTAGTGCTCTGTGTCTTACTGACCATCCACACTAGGTAGTGCAGACTAGGTAGTGCTCTGTGTCCTACTGACCATCCACACTAGGTAGTGCAGACTAGGTAGTGCTCTGTGTCTTACTGACCATCCACACTAGGTAGTGCAGACTAGGTAGTGCAGACTAGGTAGTGCTCTGTGTCCTTACTGACCATCCACACTAGGTAGTGCTCTGTGTCCTACACTGACCCTCCACACTAGGTAGTGCAGACTAGGTAGTGCTGTGTCCTTACTGACCATCCACACTAGGTGTGCAGACTCGGTAGTGCGGTGTCTTAACTGACCATCACACTAGGTAGTGCAGACTAGGTAGTGCTCTGTGTCCTACTGACCATCCACACTAGGTAGTGCAGACTAGGTAGTGCAGACTAGGTAGTGCTCCTGGTGTCTTTTACTGACTCATCCACACTAGTCGTGCCACTAGGTAGTGCTGTGTCGTACTGACCATCCACACAGGTAGTGCAGACTCAGTAGTGCTCTGTGGTACCCTACTGACCTCCACACTAGGTAGGGCAGACTATTTAGTAGCTCTGTGTCTTACTGACCATCCACACTAGGTAGTGCAGACTAGTGTGCATACAAGGTAGTGCTCTGTGTCTTACTGACCATCCACACTAGGTAGTGCAGACTAGGTAGTGATCTGTGTCTTACTGACCATCCACACTAGGTAGTGCAGACTAGGTAGTGCTCTGTGTCCTACTGACCATCCACACTAGGTAGTGCAGACTAGGTAGTGCTGTGTGTCCTACTGACCATCCACACTAGGTAGTGCAGACTAGGTAGTGCTCTGTGTCTTACTGACATCCCCTATGTAGTGCCAGACTATGTAGAGCTCTTTGACCTACTACCACCACATAGTAGTGTCAGCTAGTATTTGTGCAGACAGGTAGTGCGACTAGGTAGTGCTCTGTGTCTTACTGACCATCCACACTAGGTGTCAGACTAGGTAGCTTCTGTTTCTACTGACCATCCCACACTAGGTATTTCATGCAACTAGGTAGTGCAGACTAGGTAGTGCCTGTGTCCTACTTGACCATCCACACTAGGTAGTTCAGACAGGTAGTGAGAACTAGTAGTGCTCTGTGTAACTAACTGACCATCCATCACTAGGTAGTGCAAATACTAGTAGTGCATCTGTGTCCTACTGACCATCCACATCTAGGTAGTGCAGACTAGGTAGTCTGTGTTCCTACTGACCACCACACTAAGGATAGTGCAGACTAGTAGAGCTCTGTGTGCCTACTGACCATGCCACACTATTAGTGCAACTAGTTAGTGCATACTAGGTAGTGCGGTGTCTTATCTTCTGACCATCCACACTAGGTAGTGCAGACTAGAGTAGTGCTCGTGTCCCTACTGACCATCCACACTAGTAGTGCAACTAGTTATCGCTCTTGTCCTCACTGATCGACCATCCACCTAGGTAGTGCAGACGAGTAGTGCAGACTAGTAGTGCGCTGTGTCCTACGGACATCCACACTAGGATTGCAGACTAGGTGTGCAGACTAGGTGTGCTCTGTGGTCTTACTGACTCATCCACACAGGTAGTGCAGACTAGGTAGTGCTCTGGGGTCTTACGACCATCCACAACTAGGTAGAGAGGCTCTTATGCTTACTACTTTACTTCTTTTTCTATTCTACTTTATTTTTACTTTTTACTCTTACTTGCTACTCTACTGGGATTTTTATAACTAATACTTTATACTTTAATCTTCCTAAATTACACTCTAAAACTCTACTCATCTGCTTGTGTTACTTTCTAGGGTTTCACTTTACAGGAGAATAGGGATGATTATTTAGGGGGAAGGAGCTTCGTATGTTCTTCTCATTGAGGCGAACGGCGTTCTCCCGCCAGAACTTCTCAGACTTGTGGACCGGGCTCCACTCCAGGCGACCAGACTTCAGCTCTGAGCTGTACTCATCAAACGAACTGAGAGAGAGAAAACAAGCTTCAATAACAAGTAAATAAACTAGCAGATGAACTTAGTTGAAGAACAGCCGCAGTCCAACAGTCTTAATATAGAGAGACGTTGACCTGTTGTCTGTCTGGACTCTGGAGAGATCAATTTGAGGGGTACTGATCAGAGGTCAGTCCAGGACAGGTCCAGTGTGGTTTAAGAGATCTCCACAGTAAAGCCCTGAACTGTTCTGCTAGCATACCGCCTAGCATACCGCCTAGCATACCGCCTAGCATACCGCCTAGCATACCGCCTAGCATACCGCCTAGCAGAACAGCCTCGTTTCTCCAGGTTAAAGTAACAGCACAATAATGCCTGCTAGTGTAGCTGAGGTTAGCAGTAACGTTACCTGTCTCTCCGGGTTAGAACCTATATACACAGTGCATTAGGAAAGTATTCAGCCCGTCTGGTGTTCAACCTTCCCAAGTTCTCTCACGTCACCCCGCTCCCCCGCACACTCCACTGGCTTCCAGTAGATAAGAGCGTCTGCTAAATGACGTAAATGTAAATGTATTCAGACCCCTTGACTTTTTCCAGAATATTGTTACGTTACAGCCTTATTCTAAAAATGATTAAATTGTTTTTTCCCCCTCATCAATCTACACACTAACCCATAATGACAAACCAAAAACAGGTTTAGAAACTGGCCACTCTACCATAAAGGCCTGATTGGTAGAGTGCTCCAGAGATGGTTTTCCTTCTGGAAGGTTCTCCCATCTCCACAGAGGTGCCTCCACACAATCCTGTCTCAGAGCTCTACGGACAATTCCTTCGACTTCATGGCTTGGTTTTTGCTCTGACATGCACTGTCAACTGTGGGACCTTAAATAGACAGGTGTGTGCCTTTCCAAATCATGTCCAATCAATTGAATTTACCACAGGTGGACTCCAATCGAGTTGTAGAAACATCACAAGGATTATCAATGGAAACAGGATGCACCTGAGCTCAATTTCGAGTCTCATAGCAAGGGTCTGAATACTTATGGAAATAAGGTATATGTTTATCAACTTGAAATGATGGAGTATTGTGTGTAGATAGATGAGGAACATGTTTTATTGAATCCATTTTAGAAGAAGGCTGTAACGTAACAAAATGTGGGGAAAAAGGCAAGGGGTCTGAATACTTTCTGAATGCACTGTAAAGGTATAGGTTCTGACCTGGAGAAGTTAGGGTTAGGGGTCAGAGGTTAAACTACCTGAGATCCTGAACGCTCTTCTCCCAGACTCTCCAGCAGGAACTTGATGTCTTCCGTAATGTCCTCATCATCATACTTCTGCTGGTCCAGATTCTCCAGCTGCTTCAGAACCTTACACTGGATCATGGCCAGAGCATACTCCTGACGGGTCTCCCTCTCCGCTGACTTCTCCAACAGGTTCTGGAATAATATGAATATGTATCACGGCCAGAGCATACTCCTGATGGGTCTCACTCGACTTCTCCAGAGCCCTATACTACATATGTGGTTTGAGGAGTTTAGCAAGGTAACTCTGGTCAACACTGAGTTCAAACTCTGGATAACAGGCACATCGAAAGTTGCTCACCCTTTAGCCAGGTACATTTCTATGGCAACAAATCCTTCAGAACAAACCTTCTCCCGGGCAGGCTAACTCTATTTATCCTGAACTAAGTATCTGAGCCACGAGTTGAGGACCAATGAAATCAGATTCCTTCCCTCATCATCCCCTTCATTTGAGGAAGACGACTGATTAAATACTTTATTAATCAAATGTTTGATTAAAAATACAAATGGTTTGTGTTAAAAAATAGCAATGTTAAAATTCCTATCACATCATGACAGAATGCATTTGAAACTTAACTCACAGTAAAACTTGTGTATGACTTAATACAATTATTTTATTGATAGGAATGGGGAAAAGGATCAGCATTAATGCTAAGTAGTAATACAATAAAGGGGGCACTTCTAAAAGCCTACTTCACACCAGAGCCTGCTGAATGTGCAAGATGACTTTTATTCACTTTTGGGCACCAATGAGAATGTGGCAGTGCCATGCCCAATGGGTTGTGCTGTGGAGGTCGTAAAGCAGAACGGACAACACCTTCCTGAGAGTGAGTCACATCTTTCCATAGAGGGGTCATAGTTTGCAGGCCAAACCGTTCGGACAGGGAGTACAGGAGGGGACTAAGCATGCACCCCTGAGGGGCCCCCGTGTTGAGGATCAGTGTGAGGATGTGTTGTTGCCTACCCTTACCACCTGGGGGCGGCCCATCAGGAAGTCCAGGATCCAGTTGCAGAGGGAGGTGTTTAGTCCAAGGGTCCTTAGCTTAGTGATGAGCTTTGTGGGCACTATGGTGTTGAACGCTGAGCTGTAGTGAATGAATAGCATTCTCACATAGGTGTTCCTCTTGTCCAGGTGTGAAAGGGCAGTGTGGAGTGCGATTGAGATTGCGTCATCTGTGGATCTGTTGGGGCAGTATGCAAATTGGAGTGGGTCTAGGGTTTCTGGGATAATGGTGTTGAATGACCAGCCTTTCAAAGCACTTCATGGCTACCGACTGACATTTTCAAACTCTCCCTGACCGAGTCTGTAATACCTATGTTTCAAGCAGACCACCATAGTCCCTGAGTGCTACGGGGCGGTAGTCATTTAGGCAGGTTACCTTCGCTTTCTTGGGCACAGGGACTATGGTGGTCTGCTTGAAACATACAGTGGGGAAAAAAAGTATTTAGTCAGCCACCAATTGTGCAAGTTCTCCCACTTAAAAAGATGAGAGAGGCCTGTAATTTTCATCATAGGTACACGTCAACTATGACAGACAAATTGAGGAAAAAAAAATCCAGCAAATCACATTGTAGGATTTTTAATGAATTTATTTGCAAATTATGGTGGAAAATAAGTATTTGGTCACCTACAAACAAGCAAGATTTCTGGCTCTCACAGACCTGTAACTTCTTCTTTAAGAGGCTCCTCTGTCCTCCACTCGTTACCTGTAATAATGGCACCTGTTTGAACTTGTTATCAGTATAAAAGACACCTGTCCACAACCTCAAACAGTCACACTCCAAACTCCACTATGGCCAAGACCAAAGAGCTGTCAAAGGACACCAGAAACAAAATTGTAGACCTGCAACAGGCTGGGAAGACTGAATCTGCAATAGGTAAGCAGCTTGGTTTGAAGAAATCAACTGTGGGAGCAATTATTAGGAAATGGAAGACATACAAGACCACTGATAATCTCCCTCGATCTGGGGCTCCACGCAAGATCTCACCCCGTGGGGTCAAAATGATTACAAGAACGGTGAGCAAAAATCCCCAGAAACCACACGGGGGGGACCTAGTGAATGACCTGCAGAGAGCTGGGACCAAAGTAATAAAGCCTACCATCAGTAACACACTACGCCGCTAGGGACTCAAATCCTGCAGTGCCAGACGTGTCCCCCTGCTTAAGCCAGTACATGTCCAGGCCCATCTGAAGTTTGCTAGAGTGCATTTGGATGATCCAGAAGAGGATTGGGAGAATGTCATATGGTCAGATGAAACCAAAATATAACTTTTTGGTAAAAACTCAACTCGTCGTGTTTGGAGGACAAAGAATGCTGAGTTGCATCCAAAGAACACCATACCTACTGTGAAGCAAGGGGCTGGAAACATCATGCTTTGGGGCTGTTTTTCTGCAAAGGGACCAGGACGACTGATCCGTGTAAAGGAAAGAATGAATGGGGCCATGTATCAGGAGGTTTTTTATCGTGAGATTTTGAGTGAAAACCTCCTTCCATCAGCAAGGGCATTGAAGATGAAACGTGGCTGGGTCTTTCAGCATGACAATGATCCCAAACACACCGCCCGGGCAACGAAGGAGTGGCTTCGTAAGAAGCATTTCAAGGTCCTGGAGTGGCCTAGCCAGTCTCCAGATCTCAACCCCATAGAAAATCTTTGGAGGGAGTTGAAAGTCCGTGTTGCCCAGCGACAGCCCCAAAACATCACTGCTCTAGAGGAGATCTGCATGGAGGAATGGGCCAAAATACCAGCAACAGTGTGTGAAAACCTTGTGAAGACTTACAGAAAACGTTTGACCTGTGTCATTGCAAGTATTGAGAAACTTTTGTTATTGACCAAATACTTATTTTCCACCATAATTTGCAAATAAATTCATAAAAAATCCTACAATGTGATTTTCTGGGAAAAAAAATCTCATTTTGTCTGTCATAGTTGACGTGTACCTACGATGAAAATTACAGGCCTCTCTCATCTTTTTAAGTGGGAGAACTTGCACAATTGGTGGCTGACTAAATACTTTTTTTTCCCCACTGTAGGTATTACAGACTCGGTCAGGGAGAGTTTGAAAATGTCAGTGTAGACACTTGCCAGTTGGTCTGTGCATGCTCGGAGTACACGTCCTGGTAATTTGTCTGGCCCCACGGCCTTGTGTATGTTGACCTGTTTAAAGGTCTTGCTCACATCGGCTACGGACAGCGTGATCACACAGTCGTCCGGAACAGCTGGTGATCTCATGCATGCTACAGTGTTGCTTGCCTTGAAGCGAACATTAAAAAGGCATTTAGCCCGTCTGGTAGGCTCGCGTCACTGGGCAGCACGCGGTTGGGTTTCCCTTTCTAGTCTGTAATAGTTTGCAAGCCCTGCCACATCCAACGAGCTTCAGAGCCGGTGTAGTGCGATTCAATCTTAGTCCTGTATTGACGCTTTGCCTGTTTGATGGTTCGTCGGAGGGCATAGCGGGATTTCATATATGCTTTCGGGTTAGAGTCCCGCTCCTTGAAAGCGGCAGCTTTAGCCTTTATCTCAGTGATGGATGTTGCCTGTAATCCATGGCTTCTGGTTGGGGTATGTATGAACAGTCACTGTGGGGATGACGTCGTCGATGCACTTATTGATGAAGCTGGTGAGTGATGTGGTGTACTCCTCAATGCCATTGGATGAATCCCAGAACATATTCCAGTCTGTGCTAGCAAAACAGTCCTGTAGCATAGCATCTGTGTCATCTGATTCCTGCTTGTAAGCAGCTGGTGCTGGCACTAAGACGAGCTGTATAAGACCATAAGCAAACATCATCCATGAGCATTTTCTTGTTTGCTTATGGCTTTATACAGCTCGTTGAGTGCGGTCTTAGTGGTAAATAGACGGCTACGAAAAATATAGATGAAAACTCTCTTGGTAGATAGTGTGGTCTACAGCTTATCATGATGTACTCTACCTCAGACAAGCAATACCTCGAGACTTCCTTAATATTAGACATCGCACACCAGCTGTTATTGACAAAGACACACACCCCCACCCCTCGTCTTACCAGACGTAGCTGTTCTGTCCTGCCGATGAACGGAAAACCCAGCCAACTGTGTATTATGTGTCATCGTTCAGCCACGACTCGGTGAAACATAAGATATTACAGTTAATGTCCCGTTGATAGGATAGTCTGGAACGGAGCTCATCCAGTTTATTCTCCAGTGACGTTGGCCAATAGAACGGATGGTAGAGGCAGGTACCCACTCGCCGACTAATTCTCACAAGGCACCCTGATCTCCGCCCCCTGTATTCCCTCATTTTCTTCATGCGAATGACGGGGATTTGGGCCTTGTCTGGGAGCAACATTATATCCTTCGCGTCCGACTCGTTAAAGAAAAAAATCTTTGTCAAGTTGGACGTGAGTAATCGCTTTTCTGATATCCAGAAGCTCTTTTCGGTCATAAGAGACGGTAGCATTAAAGTTATGTACAATTGCTTAGATTCCTATGATCTAAGCAATTTAACACATAATTTAAGACAAGCGTAGCTGCTGAAACGGTGCCATGTCCAGGTCTAAAACCAGACTCATACACATTAAGAATATAATTTGAAGTAAAACAAGTTCTTAGCTGAGAGTTTGCCAGTGATTCTAAGGCAAGATAGTTTAGAGATTGGGCGGTAGTTATCCAGGTCAGAATGATCCGCACCTTTGTAAAGGGGGAGGACATGCGCTGCCTTCCAGATCTCAGGGATAGCACCAGAAGCAATTGTTAAATAGAAAATGTGGGTCAAAGGTTCTACAGTGAGGGGGGCAGAAAACTACAGTAGAAAGGGATCAAATCAGCTCCTGTGGATTTCTGTACAAGGCACTTAATACCTCATTGGCATAAAATGGTTGAAATGAAAAGAGAGAGAGCCTGGCAGTGCATCTTCCTCTGCTGTTTGCTGACAGGCGAATAAAACACTTCCTCTAGTGGGGCTTGAGGTATATTCAGATTTTTTTTCTCCAAATAGATGGCCAGCTGAAATGTCTATTTTTATTAACAGCAACACAAATTTCATTTTCATCTGTTATGGGACCAGAGGCTGCATAACCTGTTGGGGCAATGAGAGGGTGGAGTTGTTTCTCAAAGATGTTATCCCCTTCATTTATTTATTTATTTTTATGTAGCTGGTTTTCCACCACTCTCAGATACACAATTCAAGAAGTATGTTGACTTTGCATTACTAACCACAGTAAGACATGTATTTCTCAAATGTTTGAAGGACTGCCAGTCACAGGAAGAATCAGTCAATCTAGCCTTCACCCAAGCTATGTTTCTTTCATGAAATCTTTCAGAAAATTCACGGGGGAACATGTTAGATCTGTCCATTACCCTTAATCTCTTATATGGAGCATGCTGGTTGTCCGACTGAGCAGCCTAACTAGCAGTACGTACCCTGAACTAGACAACTAACTACTGTAACTACCTACCTACCGTAACTAACTAGCAGTACATACCCTGAAGGCAGCCAGAATGATGCGCGTGACTTTCTCCTTGACAGGGATAACTAGACAACTAACTACTGTAACTACCTACCATAACTAACTAGCAGTACGTACCCTGAAGGCAGCCAGAATGATGCGTGTGACCTTCTCCTTGACAGACTCCTGCAGGATGTCAGACAGAGCCGGCACCACGTTGTAGCGACGTAGCTGCTCACAGAGCTGAGAGCTGAAGGCCAGCAGCCACACACAGAACACCATCTGGTACTGCAGCTGGAAACCACACTTGTTGCTGAGCACAGCCGTGATGCTAGAGGGAGGAGAGAGAACAGTAGTAGTAGTAGTAGTAGTAGTACATTTTACATTTTAGTCAGTTAGCAGACGCTCTTATCCAGAGCGACTTACAGTTAGTGAGTGCATATATTATTTTATTTTTTCATACTGGCCCCCCGTGGGAAGTAGTAGTAGTAATAATAGTATCCAGAGACGACTAGTAGTAGTAGTAGTAGTAGTAGTAGTAGTGAGACTAGTAGTAGAATAGTTTAAAAAATAATATCCCGAGATAGTGTAGTAGTAATAGTAGTTAGTAGTAGTAGTTTTAATAAAAGTAAAAAACCCGGTTTGGTAGTAGTAGTAGTAAAATAGTATCCCCGAGACTAGGGAGTCGGGGTAGTTTGTAGTAGTAGTGAGATGTGTAGTAGTAGTAGTAATTAATAATATCCAGAACTAGAGTAGTAGTAGTAGTAGTGTAGTAGTAGTAGTAAAAGTTTGTAATAGTATCCAGAGATAGTAGTTAGTAAATAGTTTGTGTAGTAGGGGAGACTAGTAGTAGTAGTAATAAATAATAAAACCCCCGGGGGCTGTAGTAGTAAATAGTAATTTGTAGTTTGTAGTAGTAGTAGTTTGTAGTAATAAAAGGTTTCCCGAGGGGCTTTTTGTAGTAGTAGTGTGTAAGTGTAGTAATAATTTGTTTTTCCAGGAACAAAAGGGGGAGGAGTAGGATAGGGTTTTTGTAGTAGTTTGGTTGTGTAGGAGTAGTAGTAATAATAATATCCAGAGACTAGTAGTAGTAGTAGTAATAATAGTATCCAGGATATAGTAGTGTAGTAGTAGTAGTAGTGAGACTAGTAGTAGTAGTAGTAATAATAGTATCCAGAGACTAGCAGTAGTAGTAGTAGTAGTAATAGTATCCAGAGACTAGTAGTAGTAGTAGTAGTAGTAGTAGTAGTAGTAGTAATAGTATCCAGAGACTAGTAGTAGTAGTAGTAGTAGTAGTAGTAATAGTAGTTAGTAGTAGTAATAATAATAGTATCCAGAGACGACTAGTAGTAGTAGTAGTAGTAGTAGTAGTAGTAGTAGTATCATCCAGAGACTAGCAGTAATAGTAATAGATGTAGCAGACCCAGAGACTCACCAGTTGACCCCGTCAGCCTCCACCCAGGCAAACCTGTACTCATTGACCCTCAACATCAGCTGGAGACAGCCTGCAACACACTGCACATACTGGGAGCTCTGCAGAGGGAGAACATAGCCAAACTCTTAGTAAGACTGGTCAGGGTAACACAGGCAGGGATTGAGAGAGAGACCTGCTCTTCCATTCTGAAATAGTTGTGGTCAACATCACCAACCTCAATCAAATCAATCGTTATTTATATAGCCCATTTAACAAAAACAGTCACAGTGCTTGACAGTAACTTCTCAACAGTAACCGGCATACCACCTGCAACCATGAGCATCATGCACCCTGCAGAACCTAGACAAAGACAGTACCATTACAGAACAGACAGTCAGGGATATGTCCCGTCAGAAAAAGGACGTGTCCCCTCAAGGACCTGAGCAAAGAAAGGTGAAGAAAAGAGATTAGAGTTGAGATTAAAGCTGAGAGGAGAAATTCATCTGTTAGAGGAAGTTTTCCATAAAAGCAAAAAGAGGATCAGGAAGGGAGTGGAGGGGAGAGGGAGGAGTGGAGGGGAGAGAGAGGAGTGGAGGGGAGAGTAGAGGAGTGGAGAGGGAGGAGTGGATGGGAGAGGAGAGGAGTGGAGGGGAGAGGGGGGAGGGTGGATGGGAGAGGGGATGAGGTGGAGGGGAGAGGGAGGAGGGGATGGGAGAGGAGGGAGTGGAGAGGGGAGGAGGGGAGGGGAGAGGAGTGGAGGGGAGAGGGAGGAGGGGGAGGGAGGGGAGAGGAGAGGAGGGAGGGGAGAGGGAGGAGTGGATGGGAGAGAGAGGAGTGGAGGGGAGGGGGAGAGGGGGTGGAGAGGGAGGAGTGGAGGGGAGAGGAGAGGAGGGAGGGGGAGAGGGGAGGAGGGATGGGAGAGAGTGAGGGAGGGGAGGGGGAGGAGTGGGGGGGAGAGGCAGGGGGGGGGAGAGGGGGGAGGGGAGGGGGAGGGGGAGGGGGGGGAAGAGGGGGGAGTGGGGGGGAGGGGGAGAGGAGTGGATTAGAGGGGGGAGTGGGGGGTTAGGAGAGAGGGGGGAGGGGAAGGGGGAGGGGAGTGGAGAGGGGGGAGTGGAAGGGAAGGGGAGAGGGTGGGGGAGAGGGGGAGGATTTGGAGGGGGGAGAGAGTGGGGAGTGGCAGGGGGGGGAGGAGTATGGGAGAGGGGGAGGAGTGGAGAGGGGGGAGGGGAGGGGGAGCGGATTTGGGGGGGAGAGGGGGGATTTGGGGGGAGGGGAGGGGATGGGGGGAAGGGGGGAGTATAAGGGGGTGGAGAGGGGGGAGGGGAGGGGAAAGAAGTGGAGAGGGGGGAGTGGGGGGAGGGGAGAAGTGGGGGGAGGGGAGAGGGGGGAGTGGGGGAGGAGAGAATTTTGGGGGGGAAGGGGGTATAGACCCGTAGAAGAGAGTAGTAAAGCAACATAAAAAAAAGGTAGAGGTAGAAGCAAATAGAGTAGTAGCGTAGTAGAAATAGTAGTAGTGTATTAGTAGTAGTAGTATATTTTAGTAGTTTTAAGTAGTAGTATTTAGTAGTAGTAGCGGAAAGTGGGTTAGAATTTAGAAGTGTGCTTTATTTAGTAGTGGGAAGTAGTATTTTAGAAAGTAGCATCAGTAGGATTTAGTAGTAGAAGTGGGTCGTAGTATATTTAGTGTAATTTTATTTAAGAGAGTAGTAGTAGTAGTAGTATTTTAGAGTAGCCAGAAGTAGTAGTAGTAGTAGTGGGTTGGGGTAGTAGTAGTAGTAGTAGAGTTTGGGAGTAGTAGTATTTATTTAGTATGTAGGGGTTAGAGTAGAATAGTAGGCGGGGTAGAAATTTTGGGTGTAGTAGTGGGGGTTAGCAGAGTAGGAGAAGTGTGTGTAGTAGAAAAGTAGTGGGCCCCCAGTAGTAGTAGTTTAGAAAGGTTAATTTAGTAGTAGTATTTAGTAGCAGTAGTAGATAGTAGGGGGAGACGGGTTAGTTAGTAGTAGTAGTAGTATTAGATTAGTTAGAAGTAGTAGGTAGTGGGTTAGAAAAGACAATGTAGTAGTTAGGCAGTAGAAATCAATTAGTTGTAGTTATTTGGGGGTATTATTTAGTAGTAGTAGCCCGTATAGTAAGTGGGACAGAAAGTAGTAGTAGTTAGTGGGGAAGATTTAGCCAGAGAGTAGTCTTAGTGGGTTTAGTAGTAGCAGTAGTAGTAGTAAGTTGGGAGTGGGAAGTAGTAGAGTATGTCGCATTGGTAGTTTAGTAGTAGAGTAGTAGTGGGAAGATTTAGATGTAGTAGTAGTAGCACAGTAGAATAGTAGTTTTAGTAGTAGTAGAGTGGAAACAAGTGGGAGTAGAAGTGTAGAGTAGTAGTAGGAGTAGTAGTTGAGCCGAGTATTTAGTAGTAGTAGTCTTTATTAGTCCTTTGGGTATTTAGTAGTAGTAGTAGTGTAGAGGTGGGGCAGGTATTTAGTAGAAGTAGTAGTAGCATCAGAAAGTAGTAGTAGAAAAGGGTTTTATTTAGTAGTATTTAGCGTAGTAAGAAGGAAAGAGTAGTAGTAGTAGTAGTGTTTATTTTTTTTAGTATTAGTAGTAGCAGTAGGAGTTAGTGGGATGTAGTAGTAGTAGTGGGATTAGTAGTAGGTAGAGAAATTAGCGTGCATAGTGGGTGTAGTAGTAGTATTGTATTTAGTAGTAGTAGTAGAGTTTTAGTAGTAGTAGTAGTTAGTAGATTTGAAAATTAGTATTAGTAGTAGTGTGAGTAGAGTAGTAGTAGAGCCGATTTAGTGGGAGTAGACCGAGGTAGTAGTTTTTAAGTAGTGGGTGTAGTAGAAAGTAGTGATATGTGTAGTAGAGTAATTTAGTAGTAGTAGTAGTAGAGCAGTATAGTAGTAGTAGTAGAGTAGATTAGTGGGAGTTAGTAGTAGTAGTAGTAGAGTAGTCAGTAGTTTTTAGCAGCAGTAGTAGGAATAGTAGTGGGTGGGAAGTAGAGGGGAGTAGTATAGTTTTAATTAGTAGTAGAGTCCCACAGCTAGTTAAGTAGTAGTAGGAAAATTTGTTTGTGAGTATAGTGGGAGTATGTAGTGGGGGAAAAAGTGTAGAAGTTGGGGCATCTATTTTATTTAGTAGTAAGTAGTATTAGTAGTAGTGGAGTAGTAGGGGCAGAGTATAGTGGGTTGTAGTAGTAGTAGTGTAGTAGTATTAGAAAGTAGTAGAGTAGAAAGTAGTAGGCTAGTAGTAGTAGTGAGTGTATTAGTGGGTAGTGTAGTAGTGAGAGAGTAGTAGTAGTAGTAGTTTTTTAAGTAGGAGTAGTAGTAGTGGTGGGGTGAAAGTAGTAGAGCCCTGTAGAAGTAGTAGTGAGGAAGTAGTAGTTTACCCGCACAGTAGTAGTAGTAGAGATTAGTAGTAGTGGGCCGTAGCATCAGTATGTAGTAGTAATAGTAGTAGTAGGTAGTATTAGTAGAAGAGTAGGGGAATGTGGTAGTGGGGTAGTTGGGAAGTGTTTTAGTTAGAGTAGAGATTTAATCGTAGTAGTAGAAGTAGTGGGGAGAGTAGAGTTAGAGTAGTAGTGTAGTAGGGGAGAGTAGTAGTAGTAGTAGTGTGTGCAGTAGTAGAGTAAGTAGTAGTAGTAGTAGTTTGAGTATTTTAGTAGTAGCAGTAGAGTAGTAGTATGTAGCAGTAGCATCTTTATAGTAGTAGTAGAAAGAGAGTTTAGTAGAGCGGGGAGTAGAAGTTGTAGTAGGATTAGTAGTGTGGTAGTAGAAATTTTGGAGTAGTAAGTATTTAGAGAGAGTAGTAGTAGTATTTAGTAGTATGGTTGGGTTATGAGTAGCATCAGTAGTAGTATTTAGTTAGTAGTAGTAGGTGTAGAGAGTGATTTAAGGAGAAGTGTAGGGGCATCATTAGAAAGTAGTAGTGGGAGGGAGTAATTTAAGTAGAAGTACGTAGTAGTAGTAGTAGCACCCGTAGTAGTAGTAGTAGTAGATTGGGAAGTAGTATTTAAGTAAAAGTTTTAGTAGTAGTGCAGTAGTAGTAGAGTTGCCAGTTAGGTAAGAAAGTGTATTTATTGTAGTAGTGGGTAGTGAGTAGCGGGTTTAGTTCAGTAGTAGAAAGTAGTAGTATAAGTAGTATGTTTGATTTAGTAGTAGAGTGTAGTAGTAGTAGTGGCGGGTAGCATCATTTAGTAGATTTAGAGTAGTATTTAGTAGTGGGTAAAAAGTAGAGAAGGGGTTAGTGTATTTAGCAGCGGGCGGGAGTAGAAGTAGAGAGCATCAGTAGTGTGTATTTAAGTAGTATTAGTAGTGTCGAGAGCGCATTTGAAAAGCCTAGTAGTAGTGAAAGTAGATCAGTTAGTAGTAGTAGTAGTAGAGTAGTAGTAGTGAGCCAGAGTAGAAAGAAGGGGGGTAGTGGGGAAAAAAAGTAGTGCGCAAGGAGTAGTGGTAGTGGGAGATGAGTTGAGTAGTTTCAGTAGAGTAGTAGTCGTAGTTGGGTTTTGTAGTTAGTCGTAGTAGTAGTGGGAATTTAGGAGCCATTTAGCATCAGTAGTAGTGTGGTAGATTAGTAGTAGAGTAGAGTAGTAGTAGCAGAGATGGGAGGTAGTAGAGTATTTAAGTAGTGGGTAGTGGGAGTATTTGGAGAAAGTAGTAGTCCCGTACCCTTCAGAAAGTAGAAAGTAGTGTATTAGTGTAGTAGTAGTAGTCGAGAAAGTAGTCGTAGTAGACCAACAGGAAAGTGGGTAGTGGGGTAGTAAGTAGTATTTAGTATTTTAGTAGTAGTGGGAAAGTAGTAGAGCAGTAGTAATTTTCGCATAGCATAAAGGTATTTAGTAGTGTAGTATTGGGGGGGTTTAGTAGTACCCGTAGTACCCAAGCAGTAAGTAGTTTTATAGCACGGGGTAGTAGTGTAGTAGTAAGAAATTGTGGGAGTAGTAGTAGTAGAAAAGTTTTGAGTGTAGTAGCAAGTGGGCGTAGTAGTAGTTAGAGCAGAAAGCATTTTTTGTATGTAGGTATTAGTAGAGTAGTAGTAGCAGTAGAGAAGCACGGGTTAGTGAAAGGTAGTAGTAGAGTAGTAGTGTTTTAAGTAGTAGTAGCGTAGTAGTAGTGTAGTGCGTAGTTTTAGTAGTAGTTAGTGAGTAGTAGCATAGTGGTAGTAGTTCGAGTAGTAGTATTTGTGTCGTGGGTAGTAGATTTATTTAGCAGTATATTTGAGTATAGTAGAAGTACCCATCATTTAGTAGTATTAGTAGTAAGTAGTAGTGGGTAGCATAGTGGGTGTAGTAGTGCATCAGTTATTTAGAAAGTAGGTAGTATTGGAAGTAGTAGAATATTTTGGTAGTAGTGTAAGTAG